TCAGTTGGGCCTGGCTGGGACCACCTCAGGGACCTGCCCAAGGGAGGACGTGCCAGTGCAGGGCTAGCCGGAGCTGGGCACTGGCTGCACACCATGGCCCAAGGGCATGTAGGGCAGCCGGAAGCAGAGAGAGCCAAGGGGAGCCTCTGGCCGCGGCCCCAGCCCCTCTCTGTGCCTCCTGTCCTCCTGCAACATTCTGGGGAGGATCAGCCCTTTCCTGCCACAGCAGCTGGGAGACCCCATTTTGGAAGGCCCCAGAGGTCCGTTTCCAGGGGCCGGCTGCTTGCGTGGGCCAGCAGATGCCTCTGGGGACCCTGGAGAGCTGCCTCAGGTAGATGAGGCAAGGGGCACGGATGTCACCTGCCCACCACTCACCTGCTTTGTGGACTCCATCATTCTACAGGTTCTCTGCAGCCTGTGAGAGGTGAGTACCACCTTCCTGTCCCGGGATGCCGGGCCCCGGCCATGTGGGGACTGCGAGCCCTGCAGAGGCAGGCGAAGAGGAGGAGGAGCGGCAGGCTCCACCTTCAGGAGCTCAGCCTGTTACCAGCAGGCACGACTGGGTCTGCCTCACAGTGCCCACTGCAGGCCTGGGTTTTGCCACTGGCTCACCACATGGATCCTATCCCCACCCCCTCCTGCCACCTGTGTGCCAGCCATCTACCCATCTCTTTGCCTTCTGTCCACCTACCCATCCATCGCGATCCATTCCTCCCTCTGCCCACCCAACACGCACACCCAAAGATGCACTATTCATCTATCCCTGTCAGTCTGCCCTCCACCCCCCGCCCATCCCTCTGTCTATCTATTCTTCACGATCCCTCTTTCCTCCGTTCCTCCATCCCCACACAGCTACCCACCCACGCCCCTGCCATGTGCCCATCCATCCACCTGGCATCCACCCGCCTGCCTGTCCCTCAGCCCACTGTGTCCTTCCAGCCAGCCAGCCCCCAGTCATTTACTGATTATCTGTGTGACACACTGTCTCCGAGGCACAAAAGATAGAGGCAGGAAGAAAATCAGGCAAGAAGCCCACAGCCCCTCCTGCACCTCCCACCAGACCACCTCTCCTGAACAGGGGCTGGGGCAGAGCCCACACTTCCCAGTGCGTGTGGGAAGAGGCTGGTGCTCTGGTGGCTCTGGGGCTCATAAGGATTCTTGGACTTAACACCCCCAAACTCAGGACTGGGCATAAGGACCCTGAGGGGTTACGGGGTGGAGGCAGTGACTATCAGGAAGGCTAGCCTGAAGACTATAAGCAAGCTGGAGTCCTGGAGCCCAGACACCCCAGGAACACCCCTGGGAATCATACAGGTCCCTAAGGATGCGAACACCAGAGTTTGCGGCATCACCTGTCCCTCATCTCAGATCTCCTGGTCAGCCCAGAGGCATGTGCAGACAGCCAGGCATCAGCAGGATCTGTGGAAAGAGAAAGACCACAGCAAAGAGAGCAAAGCCATCCGGAGGATGCGCAGGCCGCACGGGCAGACGAAAGCTGGGTGTTCCCAGCCAATTCCCAAAACACAGATCAGAAAGAACAGAGGGGAGAGTCACCGAAAAACTTTCTCACAAAAATTCCCCAGAACTGAAATTTCCCATCTGAAAGATTAAAACAGACATGCCTCAGGGTGCATGTTTGTGAAATATCACAACACTTGGGCCAGAAAAGATTCTCTGTGATTCCACCAGGAAAGGGCAAGTCACAAAGCCACTGTGACAAAGCATCTTCGGATGTCCCAACAGATGACCTGGGGGAAGGGCACAGTGGATCCCGCTCTCTAAATTCCAGAGGAAAGAAATCACCTCCAGTTCTATACCCAGCCCAACTATCAGAAAAACGGTACCCTTTGCAGACACACAAAATCCTAACAGGAGAAAGCTCTCCATGCATTCTTTATCAGAAGTTACTAGAAAAGGTGCTCAAGAAAACCAAGAAAGTAAAAAAAAAAAAAAAAAAAAAAGAAAGAAAAGAAAAGAAAACCAAGAAAGTAAATGTATACTGTAGGTGGCAGGTCTGAAAGAATTTCCTGAGGGTGGCAACCAGAGCTCCTGGGACAGAGGCTTCAGGTTGGATGTGCGGGGACAGCTGGTCACTGTTGGAGCAGGTGATGAAGGAGCCAGGGCTGTGAATGCCACCATCACTGTGTCTGCAGTCCCTGTCCTTCAGCTGTGCTTGGGTGGGTCTGGTTCAGATTCCCATCAGACCTGACCTGGCCGGTCTTGACAGTGCAGATGAGGTGCAGCTTCTCCTCGTGCAAGCTTCCTGTGGCAGATGCACCATTGGCCATGCAAAACAGCTGAAACGAGAGAGACAGACAGACAGACAGACAGACAGACAGACAGACAGACAGAGACAGAGAGACAGAGAGACAGAGAGATCTGATCAAACTACTAAAGCCCACCCTAAATCATTTTTTTAAAAATAGTAAAATAAAATAGCACCAAAACTGTTGCAGTTCTGAAGCCAGGAGCCAGGAAGGGTCTCCCCGGCCCAAGTCGAGGCAGCCAGCACAGCTTTCCTCCCGGCTTCCAGCCTGCCTCTGCCCTCTCTGGCTCCCAGGGTCAGGCCACCTTCCTTGGTCCATGAGCCCTTCCACCTCCAAAACCAGGAAGGCTGCTTTCCCCCCTGACTTTGCTCCAACTCTCCCAGCCCCTGTGACACTGTCCTCAGCTCTGGGTGTCTGGGCTGTCCTCCCCACCTTGCGGTCAGCTGAGAGTGCCCTCAATTCCTGCAACCTAATTTGTCCCCATGGCTCCCTGCCTGACAGCCCTTCTCACATCCGTCATCTTTCTGCTGCGGCCTTGCCTGCCTCAGGCCTTCGCACTGGCCCTTCCTTCTGCCCAAGTGCTGTTCCCCAGCTGTGCAGGCAGGCCGCTGCTTGCTGTCTCATCCGTGCTCAAATGCACCCGCACCATGCATCCACTCTTGCTCAGCCTGTTGGAAATTGCGTTCTGCTTGTGCACGAGTGCTCGCTGTCCTGTGTCCACAGCACCCAGGAGCTCCTAGCCGGCCACCCCAGTATGGACGGTGGGCAGGTGAACGCAAGGGGGGTGGTCCCTGCTGTGACCTCGGAGCCTGTGGCTGAGCCTGCAAAGAGCAAACTCCAAACTCAAGTTGCGACCGGCTGGTCGCCTGGCCGTGGCCAGCCCTACTGGCTTCTTGCTGAGCTCCCTGAGGACAGAAGCCAGGCTACTGCCTGGTCGTCTGTTCTCAGAACTGCTACCAGCCAGGACACAGCTGCTTTTCCTTGCTGCCTCAGTGCAGCTGCCTGTCTGTCACGTGCTGTGTGATCCGTGTCTGGTACCTGTCTCTCGCCATAGAGGATGTCAGAGCTTTGTCCCTTTTACGGCTGACTAATATTCCAGTGTGTGGATGGGGTACACTTCATGCACCCCTCAAGGTAACTATAATATTCCCCATTCCTTCCAACTGCATTAAGCTTATGCAGTTTGCAGGCCTGTGTTAGGTGGTGGGACTGTAAATCAGTTGGAAGGAATAGTTGGCACCGATCCAAAGAGGGGTGACCCTCAGGCTGACAGGAAGGTCGTGCAGCTGGCAGGGGGCCGCAGGGAGAGCCCACCCTGTGCTGCTCCACCCAGCAAGCCCTGCAAACTGGAGTCCACTTCTCTTTCTGAGCTGTGCAGTGTGCTGGGCACGGTCCATTCCTATGCTCATCTCAAAGCCGAGCATTTGAACAACCACCTCACCGGGACATATTTCACACGGTATCTGACACAGCTTGGAACCTGAACGCGCCCCAGAGGCCTTGGAGAAGCTGTGGGATCCCAGGACTTGCCCCCCAAAGTGCTCACAGCTGAATGGGCTCTCCGGGGGGGGGCATTCGGAGGGAGTGGGTGGTGTGCGTGTGACCTTGGAGACCAGGGTTGAGCACCGCTAGTGCGTCTCCCTCAGGCCCTTCTCTACTTGTGGCCCCAGGACCTAAGCAGCTTCCTGCCCCCACATCCTCCCACTATGCTGTTTCTGCCTCAGAGCAGCCCCCATCCCACCTGCCCTGTGGACTGAGCCCTGGGAAACCCTAAGCCAACAGGTTTGCTCCTTTTGCGTTACCGATGTTGGGCATCCTATCACAGGGAGGGCACGCTGGCACGCCCTCGAGCCACCATTTGTGAGCTGGATGGGGCTGTGGCATTCGTGCCCTTTGGCCCAGACGCACTGCCTGCATCTAGGTCTGGACACGTCCAGCACCTAGGCCCAGGCAGTTGTGCTCTGCCTCCCTCCCAGCAGCCCAGCTGGTGCTAGTCTACTTCCTCCATGGATTTGCCTGTTCTGGGCATTTGAGCCGGCGAGCAGCACACCAGGTGGCCCCGTAGGTCAGCTGGGCTCACAAGGCATCATGGGTCTCCCCCGCAGGGAGTCCTCTTCTCCTCCCAACCCCTGTGCTCTTTCATCAACGCTCTGTAGCCGCGTCCCTGCACTGTCCCTGTCGCACGCTGCTGGCATCTGCTTGCCCAGAGTCACACAGGAGCTGAGCTGATGTGGCTCACCAGGCATCAGTGTGGTTTCTCTTTACAGCTAACTGACACTCCCTGTCCAGGGTACACTGCCGCCTCCTCGACCATGCCTTATGTCTTCCCTTTAACATGGTCCCGAGGGACCAGGAAGTTAGATGACCAGGGACGCCCTGGGCTCCACTCCAGGGCCTGCGGCCTCTCAGCCTGACCCCGACCTTCAAGGCAAGGACTTTCGAAGAGGTCTGTGAAGCTCACTGCCACCGTTCAGGGTGGGCCCTGTGGGCTGACCAGGGCGAGACCCTGCTAATGTCCTGGGATAGACTGGGCCCAGGAGCGGTGGGGGCCAGCACGGGTTGTTCTTATTCAGCAAAAACCACACACACAGGGAAATCAGGCTACCCTGATTTGATTGGAAAGGCGGCCTTCAATGAATGACGTCATCCCGAGAGCATAAATCGTGGTTCGTATGATTTATTTATGTTAAGAAATCCACACATGATGCTGAGTTTTCAATGGCTTTGTTTAAGTGATAGTTTCACCTTTTTAGTGAAAGTTGGAGTGATGATAAACAGCTCCAGCTGTAAAAATTAAAGACGGAGGGAAGCCACAGTGATTATTACAGAAAAATGCGGGGTGGGGAGGGGCACTTGGCCCCTGGATCCTTGGGGATGAAAATTACCCTCTGCACAGCATGCCACGAGCAGTTACCTGCTGCTTATTAATTACCCTCTTTTTAAAGTGCCACATTTCTGTGAGAAACTGTTATTTCTCTAATGGAGAAACTGGCTCATTCATGCCATGCAGTCAGGTCCCGAGCAGGACAGGCTCCATGCATATTTAAGGGACACCCTTCTTCTTTAAAAAATGACACCTTTATGCCTGGAAACACCTTCGGTGGCACTCAGGGCTGAGCGTGGCCTGCTTGGTGTGTGAGTCCCCGGGAGCCCTCGCCGCTGGCTGAGGTGTGGGTCCTCCTCTGCATCCCAGGCAGCCATGCCCACGCAGGGGCTCCCGAGAAGCAGCACCGGCACAACCACATGGCTGAACTTTCCTGAGCCCTGGGCGGCCCGGAGGCTCAGTGGAACTGCTGTTGGACAGTGGGGGGGGGGCAGATCCCCTCACCCTGCCCCTCGTAGGAAGTCCCCTTCCTCTCCCAATCCCTGCGCTCTTACAACAGGGCTCTGTGGCTGCGTCCCTGCACTGTCCCTGTCCCAGGCTGCTGGTGTCTGCTTGCAAATGCCACAGAGAGCTGGGCTGGGCTCAGCCTCAGTGGGCAGCATAGCCCACGTGCCACTGGCAGGCCCCGCCCCATGGAGGTCCCAAGACACTGCTCCAGGGCCTCTGTACTCACCAAGTTTTGGGCACAGCCCCTGGTTGTACCCCAGGAGCCCGAGCTGTGCAGGCGGGAGACGCCCAAGGCTCTCGGTCTGCAGGGGACACAGCCCCTTCCACAGCCACCAGGTACTCTCAGCCTCGCCCCGGCCTCTCTTCTGTGTCAGTGAGTGGATGAGCAAGTGCTGGGTCTGGACCCAAGGAGACTTAGAAGCACGAGACCAGCGAGTCCTGACGGCAGCTTAGCAGAGCCCAAAGTGGAGGACAGGTCCAACGGGGCAGCGTGGGGTGGGGTGGAGAGCGGCACAAACCTGTAATCCCAGTATGCCAGGAGGCTAAGGCAGGAAGACTCAAGTTTGAGCCCCACCTGGGGAGTTTAGTGACTTAGAGGTCCTGTGTGAAGATGAGATAAAAAGGGCTGGGGACTCAATACTAAGTACCACAAAAGAAAAAAGGAAAGAGGAAGGAGGGATGGACCCAGGGAGGGAGGATAGAGAGGAGGGCTGTGCTGGGACAGGGGCCCTGGAACCACTAGGACTCGATGAGGACCCTGCAGCTTCCAGCAGTGTGGTCCTCACTCCGGGCCCAACACACCGCCCCCGCAGGCTGGTGCAAGGGGAATCTCCTCTGGGGTGGGAAGCTTCTGCTGCTAGAGGAGGCTTCCCTCAGGCGGATGCCCACTCCCACACGGTACTGCCTTGCTGGTCCTGCCCTCTTCAAACTGGGACTGGCAGGTACTGGTGGGCCTAGGCTGGGCTCGTGCCACCATCAGCTGGGGTCTCAGCTGGGGTCTCAGCTGGCCTGGTTGATGGAGGGCCCCTCACCGCCCCTGCCCACTGGCTGCGTGTCCTCTGTAATCCCAGAGTGCGGTGCCTGCCTGAGAAAGAGGCCTGCCAGGCACGACACACATGGTCCCGAGTGAGGTGACATGAGGGGGGGCATCAGGCTAAAATCCTGCATCCCCTTCCTTGGTTGGTGTGGTGCCCAGGAGGGGTCCCGATGCAGCAGGGAAGGGTTCTGGCCAGTGCAGGTTGCAAAGGAGCACTGATTAGCTTGCCTGCCTGCCCTTGTCCCCACCTGGGTGCCCTTGCCCTCCTGCCCTCCCAGGGAGGAAGGTGACGGTCCCGGGACACACAGGATGACCCCACCACTGGCCCCACTATCACTGGGTCACTCTGAAGAACCAGTCATGTTTTCCCACCCGGGTCATTCTGGTCTTGGCCCAGTTCAGCCAGCTCTGCAAGTGGCTGCACCAACATCACGCAGTGCTCGCCTTCCCAGAGAGCTGGGGAGAAGGCTTGCTTGGGCCCCTAGGGGCTCCCTGCTCCCACCCCTGCCTCTCCCGAGGGAAGTAGTAGCTGCCATCCCAGCTCAGGCGCTCAGGCCCAGCACTGGCCAGGAAGACCTAGTCTGAGGTAGTGGTTGGGCTGGCTCACCCCCCCAGAGCTGAGCTGCGCCCCACCCTCACCCCAGAGAGTGAGTCTTTATGTTCCATTTCTGCAACATAAAGGCTCCAGGCCCCAGTGGTCCTCAGGGAACAGCACCCCCTGGGGAGCACCGCCAGCTGGGGGTGGGGCCATACACACCTCAGCCGGCCACCCGGCAGGAGGGAGTGGAGAGCCCCCAACCTGGGGAGTGAGCCTAGCGAGGACTGGGCACACAACCCCTGCACAGCGCAAGCCTCCAGGGCAAGGCATGCCCTCCCCCACCCACGGGCACTGCCAGACGAGGTTTGGGCCCTCAAGCCTATCCGGCCAACACCACAGATAGGGCTAGAGGACCAGGCACCTGGCCCCAGGGTCACTGAAGGGGAAGCAAAGCAAGGTGGAGGGGAACCCAGCAGCCCCTCCTGCAGGGTGACACCTTTGGGGTGCTCAGCCTCAAGATATACTTTTGATTTTCAAAACGAGCTAGTCTGCAGCTCTCTGCAGCTCTGGGCGGCGGGGAGGTAGGTTCCCTGGGCGCTGATTCGCAATGCTCCCCACCCCGCTCACTCGGGCGTCTGGGGACACAGACAGCACCTTCCCACACAGCGGTCCCTGGGCCCAGGGCACCCACCCACCACAGCGCCATGCTTCCCAGGTTTTCGTTGTTGTCGGGGCCTTGCCAAGCAGGAATGGGAGGTGTCAGGGACTACGTGGAAGGATGGCAGCTGTCTGAGCTATGTCTGGGACCAGGGGCCTCCGAGCCGGTGTGCACACGGGGCACTGTGGTGAGTGGCGTCTCTGGCTCCCAGTGACAACTACACAGACAGGGCCCAGGTCCCCACAGCTGTCCACAGCGGGGCGTGGGATGCGGGTGCAACAGGAGGGCACGTGCAGCGCCAGCCCAACGCCGGGATTCGTTGGCGGGTTTCTAAAGGTCCTGGCATCGAGAGAGAACGTGTGGGAAACAGATTCCGTTTATTGCTCCTGCTAGGGTACCGCACAGGAAGCATGGAGCTCCGGTCTCCGCAGTCTGGCCGCTGAGACCACTGCCCACCCAGGCGCTGGGTGCCTCCTGAACTCGTGGGAGAGGACAGCGGAATGTGGTCCGCAGCCTCTATCTTAAAACAAACCCAAACAAAACGAAAGGGATCACCCGAGGGAACCTCCAGTACACGTGGTGACACATACCCCGCTGGCAGACCCTACACATCTAACGGCACTGGGCAGCCACAGGAGCCTGGCCACAGCAGGACGACTGTCCCCAGGATCTAGGGATGTTGGTTTCTGAACAGAATAGGCAGGTTTGCTTGAAACTGGCCTCTGGACTCCTCTCAGGGAAGTTCTGCCTGGGCGCATCCCCGCCCCGCCCCACCCCGCCCCGCCCTGCACCCATGGGCAAGCAGGAGTCTGGTGTGGGCTCTAGGAGGGCAGTCTGTAGTGTAGGGAACCACAGGGCCACCATTTAGGACCTGTGTGCTTCCTCAACCTCGGAGTCACCCAGGTCACAGCACGTTCTGGGATGGAGGGGGGCAAAGCCGTGGTGCTGGGGAAGCCTGAGCTCCAGGAGGTTTCAGAGCCTGGGTCTGAGGAAATGGCCTCTCAGGTGGTCAGATGCCGCAGGAGCCCCCCGGGGTCCGGCCCACAGACCACCGCGGGTTGTCCCTTCCAGGCCTCCTCCACCCTTTGGTTGAAATCCGGGGCACATTTCTCTTGAAAGTGCGGCTAGAGGATGCTCCCTAGAGCCAAGCCTTCATCTTGCCTGACTGGGGACAGTGCCTCTGTGTGTGGGCTGAGGTGGGTCTTTGAAACCCCTGGGCGGCAGCTCCAGAGTGCTGGGGAAGAGGTGTCCTTTTGTTCTCTTTACTACCCAGATAAGAGCCAGGGGCTGAGCAAAACTGGACCGGAAATCCCATAGAGCCTTCACTGCTCTGAGTGCTGAGTACCCCAAAATGGTGGCCATGTTTGGGGGACACGGAGAAAGGGAAGGACAGACAGGAACCCGGTCTTCTCCTCTGGCTCCCGGCAGGGTTTCTACTTCCCTGGAGGGCCTGGGAGGGGCTGCCTGACAGCTCAGCTGCAGGCAGGAGTGGAGTGAGAACCAGAGCACAGGGCTTCTTGGGGCCAGGACCCTCCTCACCCACTGTCTTCTCTGGGCTGTTTTTCTGCCATGGGACCTTCTCTGAGGGGAGTGGTGTCAGCTGGTTTCCCACTCTTTTGCTGCCTTTTGCAGTCATCTTTACCCGGGGTTCCCACTTGCCCTGGGTGCTCCTGTGAGGTCCCCCAGGCTTCTGCTGGGGAGGGACATAGATGCCCCCAGGTATGGGCAATGGGCTGGTTTTCCTTGGTGTCACCTTTTCGCTCTGTGGCTCCTCAGTGTTTGACCTGCTCTCCACTTCTAAGCCTGGCCACGTGGGGGCAGGGCCTGGCCAGTCCAGAACCCAGCCTGGCCAGGACCATGGCCTTGAGGGTGGCCTTCTTGGCCTTGAGGCAGGCTGGGGACACTGGCCCTCCTGGAGCTGAGGGAACTTCACACTTAGCCCCGGTCCCTGATCCCCCTCCCCAGGCAAGGAGCAGCACAGCATCCCCTCCCACCCCAGCTGCCCTGGCAGAGGGCAGAGAAGGGGCACCAAGGCCTTGCCTGCACCCCACATCTTGAAGGTCAGCCCAAGAGGAACGTCTGTAACTGCCCTACCCTGGCCAGAGCCTTGGGTCCCCTCCTGAACCTAGGTAGGGGCAGGACGAGGGGCCTGGGAAGAGGCTGGGCCTTCCTAACCTTGGCTCCGGAGCAGGGCAGGAGGGCTGGGCTGGGCTGCGCCGGGGGAAGGGCAGGGTCTCCCTCCAGGGACTCCTGCTGCAGCTCCTGGGAAGCTGTCACCATTTCACGCCAAACTCTGCAGAGGCCACTGCCAGGGCTCAGGAACCTGGGTGCCTGGGGAGGTGTGACCTTGAGCCCTCTCTTGGCCGGCAACCCCACCCTTGGGCTGAGGCTAGGCAGGACTGCAACACCCTCCATCCTGGGACTATCCAGGGACTTCGGTGATGCCCAGTCTGTTCTGGGAACTTCCCCCAAAGCCTGCTCCTATATGCTGAGCTCAAGGGGACCCAGGCCCTGGGACATGAAGGGAAAGATGAAGAGAATGGGTGGTTGGCCCCTGGCCACACTCACCTAGGGTGGGAAACAGTCAAGGCAGGGTCCACACGGGGCAGGGGGCTGCAGTGCGCTTGGGATCGCGGCAGGAAAGCGGCTGCAGGCAGCAGGGGCTCAGAGGGGCAAGGCCCAGCCACCTGGCCTCCATGGGGCCTTTGCTGGTAGCAGCCAGGCACTGCCGCCTGAAAGCGGCCGCTGCGAGGACCTGGGCACCAGGCTTGCTTCTGCTCCGGCCCTGGTTTCCACCCCAAGGCGCAGGGTTCCCGTGGAGGTCTCGGGGCTGCGGATACCGGTTTCGTTGAACAACAAAGAGGGGAGTGGGCACGGCCAGGAGCCCCACGTGGAGCGATAGAGTGACCCCCGGACTCAGGTGTCCCCGTGACAGCTCCTCGTCCTGCTTACTGGCGAGACCTTGGAACTCGGAAAGGACGCGGAGGCAGCAACCCAGCCAGGGCAGCGCCTCTGTTCCCTTCCAGTTCGTTCTTTGAATCCGATCAGTCGCGAGTGAGGATTCCACGCTCACCCCACCAGGTCCACGGGCTGGAGCCAGCGTGCCCATGCCCAGCCCGGCCCCTCCGCCGCGCCGAGTGTGAGCGCCCGGCTGCCCGCGCTCCTCCACCTGCGCGGGGCCCTCAGCCCGAGATGCTCTTGCAGCCGGAGGCCAAGGCCCGACCTGGCCCATCGCGGGCGCCCGCGCACTGCGTGCTTACCTGAGGCCGCAGGCAGCTGAGCCTGGCGTGCCGGCCGTCCCGGGACGGAGAGGTGCGGGGCGGCCCGGGATGTGCGGCCCGGACGCCGGGGTTCAGGGGCCGCCATCAGCCCCGCGCAGCCCCCAGCCCGGCGCGCTGTCCTTGCTGCGCCGCGGCGCGGGA